ATAAAGTATATATTGAAAATTATTCCATTTTATATTCTTAAAAGTACCTCTCGCTACGCATCCCAAGCTACGCCTCAGTACAGTACCTTCGCGGCTGCGGGCGATCGGAGCGGGGGTTTCGTTCGCTAGTAAGTTAGGCAGCCGCGAGGAGGACGACGGGGCGGTATGGCCTCCTTCGTCGTCAGGAGAGGAGGGAGAGGACGTAGCTCCTCCTAGGTGCTGTGGGGTTTCGGTGCGCAAAGTCGATCCCGGATCCTTCCAACTAGAGCACCCGAGAAGGCCACTGTGGGGTTTTAGCCGGTAGAAGTCCTCAAGATAACCTCCCGCTGCCCCCGCGGCGTAGGGGTATATCCTAGGAGGATTTCCCCACGCAAAAAAATAAAAAAATAAAAATGTCTCAGGGTGATAGGCGCATGACTTGTTCGTCCCATCACTTGATATTACAAAAACAAAAAAAACCATTAGTGCGTCAAGTGTGCCGACGACGACTTAACTGAATATTTAGGAACAGATTCGGCATTCTTAGTAGTATATATATAAATAATAATTAGTAGTAGTATATATATATATATATATATATAAATTTAAATTTAGTCCCATATACAACTTTCCTATATAATTATTTCAATGAAAAGGGACAACTGACTCTTGATTCTGTGTATACAGATTTTTCCAAAGCGTTTGACCTTGTTAATCACTCTATACCTTATTTAAAGTGTATCGTCTGGGAATATATGGGAACCTGCATCGTTGGTTAAAATCCTACCTTATGAACCAAACGCAGTTGGTTGCACTTAATGGATTTGATTCTGTTCCATTTTTGACCAGTTCTGGTATTCCACAGGGATCAAACTTGGGTCCTCTAGTATTTTTAATTTTTATTAATGGTCTTCTTGATCAAATTAAAAGCGAATGTCTGGCTTATGCCGACGATGTCAAGATTTTCAGACGTATTAGTGATATGGAGGACTGTCGGCTTCTCTAGATATAGACAAAATTGTGGATTGGTGCGATCTGAACCTCGTGACACTTAACACGACAAAATATTATGTCAAATTATTTCTTCTGCCAAGAAAAATAGTCAATTTTATTTCACTGTAAAATAAAGGGGTTACCTAATTATAGAACGTGTCGCAAAAGTTAGGGACCTCGGAGTCACGTTTGATTCGTTTCTGTCGTTCAGGCCTCATTACGATTACATTTGTCGCAAGGCAAACAGGCTATTGTCTTTCATTTTTCGGACGGCCAGACACTTTAGAAATCCAAAGTCATGGATCATTGTGGTCAGGAGCGTTCTTGAATACGGCTCATCAGTTTAGATAATGTGCATACAGTTCGTGTCGACGCAATCCAACGCCGTTTTCTGAGAGACTTAAGTGGCAGGTGAGCTTTGAGCCGTCAATTGCCTGAATACAATGACAGACTGCATAAGTTTAACCTATTAAGCCTAGAAAGTATGATGTGGTTATCTGATCTGTGCTGTCTCCATAAAATAGTGGGTGGCTTGTTTGATATTTACTTCCTCAAACAAATTGATACCAAGGTTCCCTGTAGGTCCATGCGTGTACCACAACTCTTTGCGCTGCCACTCCCTACTAATAATAATGTTGCATTAAATGACCCAGTTATAAGAATGTGTCGGTATTATAACGAAATCTGTGATGCACACGACATATTTAATTGTAATATTCTAACTTTTAAATCAAAATTACTTAGCCACACGTAGTAAAAAGCAGAACTACTACTTGACATTAATTGTTTTTTTTTTAAATAGTTTAATTTGTCTGTAATGTTGAATCCCATTTAAACAATTTAATATTCTGTTAGATTTGTTTTCCATTTTTTATATACGTTTCCGCTCTCTGTAATAGTTAAGTATTTGTTTGGTTTGCTGTGTATAGTTGTAATTGTAGTTTTATAGTGCTATTTAAGAATGTTTTAGTATTATGTTGTATCTGATGTCTGTAACTGTATCATTAAAACAAAAATAAAAAATAAAATAGTTGTCACGTTAATGTCAACAATAGTAAGAATAAAATATACCTACGGATTTATATTAACAAATCGCGTAATTGAATATGCCATTATGTTCTTTTTCATCAAAGGAAAAAGTTGGAGCACCATAGTTCATCGTCAAGCTCGAATTTCAAAAACCTTTTCCACGGTAGCGTGGACAAAACTTGTTTCATACAAAATAAATTTGTAATGATAAAGAAAGCCTTTTCCTTTGTTTCCTCTATTCCAGGGCAATACAAGTTATTTCAAGATGTATTCAGAACAAAAATTTAACACGTCACGCCTCAGATACCCCGTTAAAAGAAAAAAGATTTTTAGAAGCCGCTTCCATACTTTGATAGCAATTCACGGGAAATAGAAACGGGAATTGATAAGTTCGTTTTTCAAATTATTTCCGATATTAGCTTTTTGAAATAATCGGAATATATGTTTGGTTCTAGCCATGTTATGTACTCATCTTGATATGTACGGCATTCCGCCGTTTATAATGATTTTTTTGTTTTATTCGTTTCGTGGTTTTGCGCTTTGGTGTGAAAGCCAAAGTTTTAACACTTTTTACCCGAAGCCAGCGCGATAAATTACGTACACGTTTTCATATAAATAAAAAATAAAATAAATAAAAATGTATTTATATCTCAAATTTTATACATGTCGAAGATGAGCTTTCCCCATTAAGCAAATTTATGCTTGTGTTGCGAGGCTTTCCCAAACCCTTCCCAAAACCTCGCAACTTCTTTGAGTTAACATTGAGAAGCTGTAGCGGGTTATCAAATCAACGGGTTAGTTATAGTAATTGCTTATATCAAAGAATGTTTGGTGTTCAGATGTTAGAGAGAAATGTTTAATGTATATGTTTAGAGTATGATATGATATGATATGCGTTCTAAAAGATTTTCCACTTCTCCATATGTAAGGGTACTTAACCATTGGATTAGCGCTTTCCTACAATCAGTTTTTAAGAGCTGCATGCATGTTCATTATTTATGTGAAATACCGTCTCCATCACGTGGTTTTAACCGTGCGTCAAATTACGGTGTCTCGCTACCAGTTCTCAGTGATTACACTACATGATGTGGGCTGACTATACGCAGTGCATTTACTTGTCAGCTTTAGAGGCACCGGTTGATGCGGCGCGTCATTGTGTAGGTACTAATATTTGTGATTGCGAAGGAACACAATAGGCCTCACAGGTTAAGTGTATCGAACGTTGCGAATAGCGACTATGCATTACAGACGAACCACTTTTTAGCGACATCATAAGCAATTTATTTGTAGTACAAAAAGTGTTCATAACTGGGTTTCTCTCCCGAGGGCGACTAGCAAATAAAATGGCGAGCGCTGGCGCGAAAGGCGGTTGTGCATTTGGACGTTGCGATCTAAAGCATTTACAGGTAAAATCATAGTCGTGTCTAGGCTAGTAGTGGAGTGGCGAGAAGCGGCGGGATTTATGTTAGTTGCAGTTCGATACATAAATTCTGCGCCGTAATAAACTGCAGCGGCGGCAGCGGCGGCGTGGTGCACATATCGCGCTTACACCGCGCAGTAGACGCGGCGAGGACGAGGCGTGAGCACTATCTTGGCGTCGATGTATCATTGTCCGCGGCTGATGTTCGCAGAGATTTATGCCGAGACCGCGGCCGGCCGTGCGCGCGTGCAGCCGACACCGCTGCTTGGCTGACACATAACACCTCTGCTTGCACCATTTCTGGGGTACTTGCATTGCAGTGATGGAGCATCCTCTGCTACTTTAAAGTTCACTCTTGATATTACACTTTCTCGGGCTCGGTGGTTGCTCGTGCAGAGTTACGTTGCAGGTATTACGTGACCACAAGGCATCTACTACTTTCTATGTGACTTGGCGATTTCACATAATTATAAAATTAATAATAATAATTAATATAAATAACGCACACACTCAACATAGCCCCGAACTAGGGAAACCCTGTGTCGCGGGTGCCATGGACACACACACATGGACAACCACAAATTACACCCAAACTCACGAGAGAAATAATTGTAGGCCATACAA